GTCTTACGCGCGTAAGACAGCCCGATGCATGCTTATTCGCGGATCTTTGTTAATTAAAATCTCAGTAACTATTGCGAATCTAGCAAAATGGTATAAGACTTTTCGACTCAGTTTTACTCTTTCTACTTGCCTACGAGAGATTGTACGGCCATTCTGGGACACCCTGTATATGAAAAGGACCCCGTATACCCCCCTAACTAATTTTAAAATATTGCGAAAAAAACTCTTCAGCCAGGATCTTGGTAAGTGTTACATATTCTTGATAGCGCCGCCATTACTCTGGTTTATCTCTTTCTTCCGCGATGACTGAGAAAAAAAACGAGGCTACGAGAGAAAAGAAGAAGAAGAAGAGACGAAGAAGAGAAAGAGGAGAGATTTTGCGAGATGTGTTCAAGAAGGTCGAGAAAGAGAAATACTTGGTTAAAGTTAGCAAGAGACAAATACGAACGAGATGTAGGAAGGAGAACTAGAGAAGAAGAGACGCGATGGCACGGGACACAAGAGGACCAGATATAAGAGGATAGAGGCGGCAGATTCCGCAACGGAAAGAGAAGAGAAGAGAAGAGAGAGAGAGAGGAGAAAGAGAGACAGAAAGAACGGGTCCTCTTTCACGTGGTTCCGAAACGCGGCGGCCGAGCTATGATCGGCTCTGGCATTCCTCTCTTCTTGCCTTTACGGATAGAATAAGCGAGCGCGCGCGGGCACGCGGACGGGCAAAACCAAAGTTCTTAAAGGAATTTCAGCCATTACACATCATAAGGATAATTTTTGCGATTGTCTCCGAGGGGCTCCGGCGCGGCACGGCGGTGGTCGGCCGGAGGGCTCCTCTCTCTCCGTTTCTCTTCGTTAAACGGCCAGGCCCGGCCGGTGTCTTCGGGCACCGGGATTCGCTTTTTTTATCACCACGAATCGTCTCGGCTGAACCGCGTAATGAATTATAAGCCGGGACACGCGATGCTCCCCGCGTGCGATTTCTTCGGACCTTTTACCTTCGCAACAGCATGTGCGCTTAGAGGATTAGAAATATATATTCGAGATAAAGATGCGAACATTTCAATTCCGATTGGCTTGGGTGTTCCTAACCTAACACTGAAGTTTGATTTTCTATTTTGACGAGCAGTGCACGTAATTTGCGCGCATTCTATTTCTCCTTTCTACATGATCCGTGTATTAAACAGTGAAATTTTTTTACTCCAATTCATTTCAATCGAGCATCCTCTATTCTATAGGATAAACTCGGGGAATTATGGACCATACGGAAAAGATGACCATAAACTGTAATTTCACACACACACACACACACACACACACACACACACCAATAATTGTTTAATAGTGCATTTTGTAGCATTATTCTTAAAGATAATCAGTATTTACAGTAGTTTATGTGCGTACACTATTTGAAATAACAATATTGTGAAAATTAAATAATATTTTCCATATCCTAACCCATGGACCAAAACGTCTGTTGTATTTTTTAATAAAAAAACTGCTTTTCATACACTAACACCTTGTATTTACTGCTCGTATCGGCCCTTTGATTCATTTTTTTGACAATTTCAAATTAAAATTATTAAAAAAACTATAGCCTAAGTGTGTTTTCTATCAAATATTCTGCTACATATACAGTCAAAAATACTAAATTCGTCTTGTAATCTCAGCGATCAGGAATTCTGATTGGAATCTCGAACGTTTTTTTTTCTCTCTCTCTCTCTCTCTCTCTTTCCTTCTCACTCTGACACACTCTGACGCAACCGATCGCGGGTCGATTTTTTTTCACGGTATTTCGCAATCGCGAAAGAAACAAATTCGATCTTTTTCATTAGGGTGTGCCATTGTTGCATGCACGTGCAGCGTGCGAGTGTGAGCAATTCGCATGGCGGGTCGCCGAGCAATCGTAGATTTATCTTCCGAGTGATGCCTGCGCGGGTACGCAATAGCGCAACATTGTTCTGCTCGAGATCGCTCGTTACGATAGACAGCGCTGACTTATGCATACGATATTATAACCGTGCGCGCGGACTTTCCTCGCCCTGCCGGCGTTTTCGCCTGATTGCCGTCATTAATTGAAAAATATCAGATCCATCCGCGGACTTATCCACCTCCGCAAAATAGCGCGCGGAAACTTGTCTAGTATATTTACTCAACTTCATGAATTTTTAATATATAAATTAGTTTTCTGGATTTAATTTGAACTCACAAGATTCCTTATACGAGGTAATTTAATACGTAAATATTTTTCACGGAATTAACTTGAAAAAAAAAAAAAAAAACAAACTGAACTTTAAAATAAAATTACTTATGTTACAAAGAAAAATTGTTTTCCACATAATTTTCGAGGATCGTTTTCTCTTTTCTAGGTTTGAGATCTCGCATTTTCACACTACCACGCGCTGCGTTGGCTGACTCCGATTCCGTTAGAGATTGATTGCCTTTAAATTGACCGGTAATTGGTCTCGCCGTCTCGCGGCAATACAACGATATCCCGTATAAGTACGCTCATAAATTAATTCGTCGCTGTGGTTACTTAGCGTCTCTTTCTCCTACGAGAGCGAGAGAAAGAATATGTTCTCGCTCGCTCGGATCTTTCATTCCGCAAGACGATTCGTTACTCGCGCAACGATCCTTCAAGCGAGGAGAAATTAGCCGCCGAGGGTTTGTACGTTCGAACGACACGCGCGCGGACCGAATTCCATTGCGAGAGATAGAAAGAGAGAGAGAGAGAACACCGGGTTATTATTTAGTCGCGGGAGAAGGAATCGTCGATATGAAGCAATAGGTTACAGTTATAGTAGGAAGTCGTCGGCGACCTTTCGGCACACGGGGACGTGTCTAATGCATTATCGACTTGACCTCTCGCTCGCAGCAAGCATTCCGATACTCGAAGAACAATCGCGCGCTCTCTCTCTCTCTCTCTGGATCTCCTCGTCTCGACGATCGCAGTCTCTTCCCTCGAAGGCTACGAATAGTTATTTTCGATCAATTTCGCGGTTTGAAGAGAATTTCAGGTAACGCTGGCTTATGTAGGAGAGACTGGGGCTGATTGTGATCATAGACGTATAATATATAGACTGCGGGTTTGGCTGAAAAGATGTCTTCAACGTTGAGAGAGACAACATACTTTGAATAGTAACTCTTTCTCTGTCTATCAATGTATCAGCGAAGACTTCTTTTTCCCCCACTACTTCGCTAGACAAAGATGAGGCTACTATTCAACACCAGCTGTCTCTCTCTCAACGTTGAAGACATTTTCTTAACATGGCAAAGGTAGGGAACGCGCAGTCTATATATTATACGTCTATGTACAGACGGCGTCATTAATTCGAAGAATAGGCGCGGGGATCGGAGGGCAAGCGGGGCGGTTGCTCGTAGCGCCAACGGGCGCCGTACTAACTAACTAGTAGCAATCGGGTATCCACAACTGGACACCCGATTTTGGGACTAATGGATATTTGGATCAACTGGACTTTTTATGTGATCCCCGCGCCTATTCTTCGAATTAATGACGCCGTCTGTACGTACCATCATAGACGTATAATATATAGACTGCGCGTTTGGCTGAAAAGATGTCTTCAACGTTGAGGGAGATAACATACTTTGAATAGTAACTCTTTCTCTGTCTATCAATGTCTGTAGTAGGATCAGGGCCTACTGTTTCATACCACCTCTATATATTATGCGTCTATGATTGTGATACGGGTAAAAAGTTACAAGCTTTGATTAGTGATGAAAAATAAGTGCTGACATTAAAGCTGAAAAGAGACAAACGCGACAACTGTCACGCGTCACACGCGTCAGTAACATCATCGTTGTTGCAATTATTTTTCATCGCTAATTTAAGGTTGTGTAACTTTTTACCCGTGTGTCACAACCAACCCCAGTCTCCCCTATTTCGCTTTTGCGAGTTTCCGAGTCGATACGATTTATCGATACCGAGAATAAATTGTCATCTAAAGTGATTACACAACGACAAGTAAGTAAAAAGTATGCGTTTTTTTATTACAAAAAAAAAAAGAAAAAAAATAAGTGTAGATCTCGCGCAACTTAAGTTTCTCTCACCTGTATGTGAAGCACGATGTCGCGGTGTTGCAGGCCATCGTCGGCGCGCACTTTCAGCATGTACTTCTCCTTCGACTCCCTGTCGAGAGCTTCGGCGAGTCTAAGCTGACCTGTGGTCAGATGGAGTGTGAATATATTCTGAGTCTCGTCGTTGTCGTTATCGTCGGCGACAAACTCGTCGCCAACAGGATGATTCGGCACCAGGGTGTAGGTCAGAGTACCAATGGTATCCGGATCGTAGGCTTTGAGGGTCGTGACGACGGTATTGAGCGGCGCTTCCTCGGAGATCTGAAATTTCCACGGGCCTGGTCCCCACGTCGGTGCCACGTCGTTCTTGTCCATCACCGTTACGCGTACCTGAAACAAGAAGAAAACATGTCGATTAGAAGTGGCCTAGCTGCCGCGCGGGGTCATCGGTCATCATCATTCTTGTTTCAGATCAGATCGGATCCGATGATTGAGTCATCGGTGACTCGATCGGCATTGTTGTCGAACGGGAAAGAAGATGTTTAGGAAACACATTGTCCTGGGAAAATTTCGTATTTTTTTCGATCGAGATGATTTAATATCTTAAAAGATCGATTATATCGGCTACATCGTGGAATATATATATCGCAAAAAGAAATGAAATTTCAAAAACCACAATAAAAATAACGCGGTCGTTTATAATTATCATATTTTTTTACTTAAAAAAGAATCACCGCAAATTTATAAAATATAAATGTAAAATGGTAACAATAAAACCGCTCGAGGTAATAATCACCTATCACTTCATCTTTCACAAAGGACTTCNACATGTAAGAATTTCACTTGTTAACTCCAAACTCTTCAAGTGCGTCTTTCAAGATGTGCGTTATTGTTAAATTTTAAATTTATTGTTACACTGAAGAAGGCTCAAGTAAGGGCCGAAACGTTTGTATCATTATATAATTAACAACGGCATGTTAATTTAATTTAATTGTATAATATAATATCTTTTTAAGAACCATTTGAGCTCGATACAGACCTTGTATATTGTGTTTTAATTTTAATTTATAAAATATTTTGCCAATACTGTAGCGAATATATCTCGCTTGCGACATAAATTATAGGTTGTAAGGTAAGCATGAGACAACAACAAAATAATTGTATAAATAATTTTGAAATATGTAGAGAGAGAAAAGTTTTTTTTTTTTACATGTGATTCAAAAATACGAAAACAGTTTTGATTGACACCGACGATGTAATTATATGTAAAATCGAAGGAAATGCACGAAGGTCGTTGCAAAGCCGAAGTCACGGTATGCATGCGAAGACTCGTGAGAAAGTTAGTTTTTCGATTCCGTCTGTGCATGTCTTATTTCATTAAATTCTCAGTCACGTCAGCCGCTCCAAGGTTTATGTGACTACCAGCAGCCGGTATATCGAAGTGAGGGAGGAGCAACGGACTCTCTATACGAAAGCCATAATGCAAAGTAACAATATTGGAGTGATAAATCAATCGCAATCAATGCGTTTAAGACTCTCACGTGTAAAAGCGTGTAAAACTTTTTGTGTATAATTTTTATCATTTTTAAGCGATTACACACATATTGTTATTAAATTTATTAAAAAAAAAATATCATGCGCAATTATATTGTATATTATATATTAAATATATTATATATTAAATATTATATATTATATATTATATATTATATATTGTATATTATATATTAAATATTGTATATTATATATTATTCAAATATATGTACATATAAAATCGTACAATTAAATAATCGATCTAACGCTTGCAGTGCAATATTTCCAGTCTCGGTGTTACACGCGTATAATTTAATTAATAAATACCTCCTGTCTACATATGTACATACATACGGAATATCAATGAACCCGATTAAAATATTTTCTTGCGTAAATCTCATATGTATATATATATATACATATGAGATTTACGCGAGAAAATATTTTATATATATATATATATATAGTATATATCTCGCGAAAGAGAAGCGCAAATTGTTTCTCCTTCACAGCCACCCGATGTAACCTCGGTCAACTTGATAATCCTTGTGTACACATAATCCGACCAGCGGAATAAATATGCGAACACATTTCTCAGGTAGAGGAACTTTTATATAACGGGCAATCCGAGGGCGCGCATCTGTCTTCTCAGTAATTAGTCGGACCCTCTCTTGTCATTGATGGAGCGGTTACCATCGATTATTGCTCTCGAACGCGTCTAGACGCGCCTATGTATGTATCATCATTGCTGAAACGTATGTCGCTGAAACCTAAAGTATACGGCGACGCGTTTCGGGATGACGAAACAAAAGTCGAAACAGAGATCTCGCTGAGATCACTCGGGATTGCGGATTAAACCAAAGAATAAATTGTTGCAATCTCTCTGCCTACCGCAGCCATAAATCGCTGTGTAACCCAGATGCACCCCAGATCTCTTGCTCAGATGGATGCAGTTGCGCAACCCGTACATGATTGACGTGTGTCGCGCGCACGTAGGCGATTGCAAACGATCGATATCGCTTGCTATTGAGAGGTTACGTTGGGATATTCAATAGATAATCCATCCAGAATGGCTGAGAATATGTTTTTACCGTAGTGAGAAATAGTCTCGTATTATAATCAAAAAACAATATATACGACGACCACGTTCTATTGATTCAACCAGAATGCCAATCTATTGCGAGAGTTACGTAATATCTACTTATCTACTTGGTTGTGTCGGATATATATAAGCACATATTTCTCTGTTTTCTCTTGGACAAAACACATAATGGAATCTTTCGCAACGAATCGAATACAGTCGGCGAACTGTTACGAATCGACGAATTGCTACCAAAAAATCGATATGACAAAAGATATCCGGATAACAAGTGTCGAACTCATTCGCCTCTAATGTATTCACGTGTATACGAGTATACGAGGTATATACACAAAAACGCCGTTTGGCGAAGTAAATTTATGCAAAGTCCGCCGAAGCGGGTCCGCACTACCGTCGTCGACGGTAATTATAGGAGGGCTCATCGTGTTGTCATTAATAGCGGCTATCGACAGTCCCGTGTTAAATAACCGCGACGTATCTTAACTTCACGACATAGTTCACACGATCCGTAAGATTGGCCTTATCTCGTAAATGATACGATAACGACGCGGATTGTTGGGTAAAACCGTATTCGCCACCCATGCATGATGCCTGTGCGAAGCGAACCGACACTTATTTCAAGCAGGCGAAAACGCCCGTGTGTGCCTCGTCAGTAACGCGCTTTACGATCTCTCTCTCTCTCTCTTTCTCTCTCTCTACGATCAATTATCGTATTGGTGATACATCTCATTAAACGATTTTTAAAGGTAAGCTTCGGTGAGACTAATTGATAGTGAAGATGTCGCTCGCAAACGTTGATCTTTCATCGGACAAAAAGTTTTGTTGAGTATACAATGAAATCTTGCAGCTTTTAGTTCAAAAAACGTTAATTTTTATTTATTGTTTATTGCGTATTATATGTTTTTTGTATCTTTTACTGTTTTAACATTTTATATATATATATACTACCATGATCAAAAAATAACCGGAATTTTTAATTTAAACCTCGCGGGCTTATCGGTTTAGAATTCTGTTGTTTGTGTCACGTTGCCAGCACTGTTACGGACACCCATGCCAAGCTTCTGCTTATCAGCTGTTCATTT